CCCTACTTGGAGTTCTGTGAGCAAGTCTGGGCAACACATTGTAGGAAATATATATTGGCCTTGGAGGGAGTACAATGTAGGGTTACAAGAATGATACCTGGACTTCAGGGGTTACGTTATGAGAGAATACACAAAGTTGGCCTCTTTTATACAGTTATAGAGTCATAGAGATGGACAGCATGGAAACCAACCTTTTGGTCCAACTCGTCCATGCTAACCAGATATCCTAAATAAATTTAGTCCCATTTGGCCCATATCCCTCCAAACCCTTCCTATTTACATACACATGCAGATGCCTTTTAAGTGTTGTAATTGTACCAGCCTCTACCACTTCCTCTGGCAGCTCATTTCATAAATGCACCACCCTCTGCGTGAAAAAGTTGCCCCTCAGGTCCCTTTTATATCTTTCCTGTCTCACTTTAAACCTATGCCCTCTTGGCTTGGACTCCCCCACCCTGGAGAAAATACCTTGTCTATTTTGCCTATTCATGTGCCTCATGATTTTATAAACCTCTATAAGGTCAGCGTCTATCAGCCTTTGACGCTCCAGGGAAAATAGGCTCAGCCTATTCAGCCTCTCCCTATAGCTCAAACTCTCCAATACCTATAAATCTTTTCTGAACCCTTTCAAGTTTCACAACATCCTTACTATAGCAGAGAGACAAGATGGCATGCAGTATTTCAAAAGTGGCTTAATCAATGTCCTGTACAGCTGCAACATGACCTCCCAACTCCTATACTCAATGCACTGACTACACGCATACCAAACATCACCTTCAGTATCCTAGCTGCCTGCGACTCCACTTTCAATGAACTATGAACCTGCACTCCAAGGTCTCCTTTTTTCAGCAATACTCCTGAGGACCTTACCATTAAGTGTATAAGTCCTGCCCTGATTTGCCTTTCCAAAACGTAGCACCTCACATTTACTGAAATTAAACTCCATCTGCCACTCCTTGGCCCACTGGCTCATCTGATCAAGATCCAGTTGTACTCTGAGGTAGACTTCTTCACTGTCCACTACACCTCCAATTTTTCATCTGAAAACTTACTAACCGTACCTCCTATGTTCACATCCAAATCATTTATATAAATGATGAAAAGCAGTGGACCCAGTACCAATCCTTGTGGCAGACCACTGGTCAGGGGCTCCAGTCTGAAAAGCAACCCTCCACCCCAATTCTTTGTCTTCTACCTTTGAGCCAGTTCAGTATCCAAATGGTTAGTTCTGCCTGTATTCTGTGTGATCTAAACTTGCTAACCAGTCTACCATGAGGAACATTGTCAAATGCCTTACTGAAGTCCACATAGATCATGTCCACCATTCTGCCCTCATCAATCCTCTTCGTTACTTCTTCAAAAAATTCAATTAAGTTAGTGAGACACTATTTCCCATGCACAAAGCCTAACCAGTCCTTGCTTTTCCAAATACATGTAAATCCTCTCCGTCAGGATTCCCTCTAACAACTCGCCCACCACCGATGTCAGACTCATCGATTTGCAGTTCCCTGGATTTTCCTTACCACCCTTCATAAATAGTGGCACCACATTAGCCAAACTCCATCTTCCAGCACCTCACCTGTTGCTATCGAAGATACAAATATCTCAGCAAGGGGCCCAGAAATCACTTCCCTAGCTTCCCACAGAATTCTGGACCCGATCTGATCCTGGGGATGTAACCAACTTTATGCATTTTAAGATGTCCAGCACCTCCTCCTCTGTAGTATGGACATTTTTCAAGCTATTGCTATTTATTTCCCCACATTCTATATCTTCCATATCTTCTCCACAGTAAACACTGACGCAAAATACTCGTTTACTATCTCCCCTCATCTCCTGCAGTTATACATATGGGCAGCCTTGCTGATCTTTAAAGGGCCCTGTTTTCTCCCCAGTTACTCTTTTGTCCTTAATATATTTGTAGAATCTTTTTGGATTCTCTACAACCCTATTTGCCAAAGCTATCTCATGTCCCCTTTTTGTCCTCTTGACTTCCCTCCTAAGTACACTTCTACTGCCATTATACTCTTCTACAGATTCACTCGATCCCTGCTGTCTGTACCTGCCATATGCTTCCTTCCTTTTCTTGACCGAAACCTTAATTTCTCTAGTCATCCAGCATTCCCCACACCAACCAGCCTTGCCCTTCACCCTAACATGAACATGCTGTCTCTGGACTCTGGTTATCTCATTTTTGAAGGCTTCCCATTTTCCAGCTGTTCCTTTATCTGTGAATATCTGTCCCCAATCAACTTTCTTGCCTAATACCTTCAAAATTGCCCTTCATTTAATTTAGAATTTTAACTTTTAGGTCCTGTGTATCCTTTCCCATCACAGTTTTAAGACTAATAGAATTATAATCACTGGCCCCAAACTGCTCCCCCACTGACACCTCAGTCACCTGCCCTGCCTTATTTTCCTAGAGTAGGTCAGGTTTTGCACCTTCTCTAGTTGGTACATCCACACACTGAATCAGAAAATGTTCTTGTACACACTTAACAAATTCCTCTCCATCCAAGCCGTTAACATTATGCTAGTCCCAGTCTGTGATTGGAAAGTTAATGTCCCCTACCATGACCACACTTTTATTCTGTTCTGAAGGATAACTGAGATCTCCCTCCAAATTTATTTCTTAATTTCCCACTGACTACTGGGGTGATTATAGTACAATCCCAATAAAGTGATCATCCCTTTCTTATTTCTCAGTTCCACCCAAATAACTTGCCTGAATGTATTGTTTTATTCATTTGTGGGATGTGGATGTCCCTGGCTGGCCAGCATTTGTTGCCCATCCCTAGTTGCCATTGAGAAGATGGTGGTGAGCTGCCTTATTGAACCACAGTAGTCCACCTGCTGTGGGTTGACCCACGATGCCATTAGGGAGGATTTTGACGCAGCGACAGTGAAGGAACAGCAACATATTTCAAAGTCAGAATGGTGAGTGGCTTGGAGGGGAACTTGAAGGTGGTGGTGTTCCCATGTATCTGCTGCCTTTGTCCTTCTAGATGGAAGTGATAATGGGTTTGGGAGGTGTTGTCTGAGGATCTTTGGTGAATTTCTGCAGTGCATCTTGTAGATACTGCTGCTACTGAGCGTCAGTGGTGGAGGGAGTGGATGCTTGTGGAAGTAATGCCAATCAAGTGGGCTTCTTTGTCTTCGATGGTGTCAAGCTTCTTGAGTTGTTGGGGATGCACTCATCTAGGCAAGTAGGGAGCATTCCATCACATTCCTGACTTGTGCCTTGTAGATAGTGGTCAGGCTTTGAGGTGTCAGGAGGTGAGTTACTCGCCGCAGTATTCCTAACTTCTGACCCGGTCTTGTATCCACTGTGTTTATGTGATGAGTCCAGTTGCATTTCTGGTCAATGATAACCCCCAGGATGTTTATAGTGGGGGATTCAGCGATCACCATTGAATGCCAAGTGGTATTGGTTAGATTGTCTCTTATTTGAGATGTCATAGCCTGGCATTTTCCTGGGACTATTCTTCCTAAGTACAGCCATAATATTATCCCTAATCAAAAACACCACCCACCCCATCTTGCTTCCCTTTCTATCCTTCCTATACCATCTATACCCTGGAACATTAAGCTGCCTGTCCTGTCCATCCCTGAACCACACATCTGTAGTTGCAACGATATCCCAGTCCCATGTTCCCAAATATGCCCTGAGTTCATCTGCCTTACCTGTTAGGTCCCTTGCATTGAAATAAATGCAGTTTAATTTATCAGTCCTACCTCGATCTCTGCTTTGTTCCTGCCTGCCCTGACTGTTTGACTTATTCCTTTTCCAAATGTACTAGTCTTAGTGTGATCACTTTCCTCACTATCTTCTTGGTTCCCCCCTCCCTTTACTAGTTTAAATCATCCTGAGCAGCTCTAGCAAATCTCCCTGCTAGTATATTAGTTCCCTTCCAATTCAGATGCAATCATCCTTCTTATACAGTTCATTTCTATCTCAGAAGAGATTCTAATGATCCAAAAATGTGAATCCTTCTACCCTACACCAGCTCCTCAGCCAGGCATTCATCCGCTCTATCCTCCTATTTCTATCCTTACTGGCTCATGGCAGAAGTTAAAGGTTGATCAGACTGAAGTCTTCGAGACATTAACACGAGAAGACAAGATAGATGAAGATAAACTATTTCCACTAGTTGCTGATTCTAGAACAAGGGGTCATAGTCTGAGAATCAGGGCCAGACTATTGAGGAGACACTTTAGAAAGCATTTCTACAGACAAAGGTGGTAGTGATTTGGAACTCACTTCTGCAAATGGCAGTGTATTCTGGATCAGTTGTTAATTTTATATCAGTTAAGGCATATATATGGAGTTAGGCCAAAGATTAGCTACGATCTCATTGACTAGTGGAACAGCCTCACGGGGCTGAATGGTCTACTCCTGTTCTTATGTAACCTGAAGGACAGCATTCTCTATGACAAAACTTCTCTTACTAATATTGTCATGGACAGATGCAACTGCAGCAGGCATTTTGGTGAGGATGAGATCAAGAATGTTTTTCCATTTAGTTGGTTCCCTCACCACCTGTCCCACCTTGGCATCTGTTACCTTTAGGAACTAACTAGCACAGTTGTGGTCCAGCCCATCTTGGTGCTGGATATTGAATTGCCCCTCCCAGAGTACATTCTGCACCTTTGCCAACTTCGGTGTTTCCTCCAAGTGGTGTCCAACGTGGAAGAACACGGACTCATCAGCTGACGGAGGACGGTAGGTGGTAATCACTTGGAGGTTTCCTTGCCCATGTTTAACCTGAAGCCAAGATAGTCATGGGGTCCGGAATCAATGTTGAGAATTCCACGCCTCCCTGTTGCGGTGCGCCCACAGACACCCGCCTTCTCTTTCCAAGACTTCTTATTGGTTGGAGGACCTACTGCAGCCAGGTCCTCCAATTTTCTCTATTGGTTGGAGGATCCATGGCTGGTGTGACCTCCAAGCCTTGCTATTGCTCGCTGCTTTCGTCAATCATTACCGCGGCCGCCATTACTGTTCCAGTCGCGGCTGAGGGAAGCAGCGCGGATGTTCTGTTGACTATGAAAGGTGTGGGAGTAGCGCAGAATCACTTGGGTGCTCCGGTTTGGATGCATTTATTTCATCGTTCGCCGCTCAGATCGTCGCAGAGCTCACTTTCCGCTGGTGCCGCCGACGCTGCCCGCTGACCAATATAGGGCGGTTTCTGGCGCGCTGGGCACTGTGGGTACGGACGGATGCCATTGATCCCGGGGTGGTGGCCCCAACTCGCCGTAGGTTCACACAGGCGAGGTTCGCCTCCGCTCAAACTTTAGTCCTGTTTATTTCTCTTTCTTTGTCGCTCCCTGTCTACACAGATTCCGCCGCTCGAGCCCAGCATTTTCCATTTCAATCTCAGGAACTGCATTATCATCAGTATTATCCTGCTTTTACCCTGGACCCAGGAGCCTCTTTTTTTTTAATTTCAGTTCGCGACTCAAGTTGGTAAGAAGGCTACACGTGGGGATCACAGGGAACGGCAGGTCACCTGCCCCCAACACCTTAAGCTTATTGCCAATGTACAGCGCAGCTGGCTTTATCGGGATCTTTATTGCCATTGTTGGATCTTGCTGATGGAAGGAGAGAGTAGTGATCACACTGTGGGCCAGACAAAGATATTTTCCTCATGTGAACTTGCCTTCAGCTGCATCCCTGTCTCAGGGAATCATATGCATTGTTATAATGGAGAGGCCCTCAGTGAAGCTGGAGATGATGGGAAGAGCTGTAGTTCCCTGCCATCTTTGGGGGTTCATGAGCACAGTTTGATCAGGAACAGTCCATTCACCTGCTCTGTGTGTGGAAAAGTATTTGCTTATCTGTCCCACTTGCAGGCACACCAGCTTGTTCACACAGAGGAAAGACCATTTCAGTGTTCCGACTGTAGGAAGACATTTAAATGCTCCCGGGATCTGATGAGGCACAAGCTGGCTCACACAGAGGAGAGGCCATTTCAATGTTCTGACTGTGGGAAGTGTTTTAAAAGCTTCCAGGAGCTGCAGCGACACCGGCACCTGCACAGTGGGCTGAGGCCGTTCACTTGCTCCGTGTGTGGGAAGGCATTCGCTCGGTCCTTCAACCTGCTGGCACACCAGAGAGTTCACACTGGGGAGAAGCCGTTCTCCTGCTTCATTTGTGGGAAGGGGTACAGTCGGCTAACCCACCTAGTGAAACATAAGGAAATTCATAGTGATGAGAGACCTTTCAGATGCTCTGACTGTGGGATGAGCTTTAATAGCTCCCAGAAGCTGAAGGGACACCAGCGCGAGCACACCGGAGAACAAACTTTCATCTGCTCCGTGTGTGGGAAGGGGTTCACACGGTCATCTGCTCTGCTAGCACACCAGCGAGTTCACATGGATGAGAGACCCTTTAAATGTTCCGAATGTGGGGAGACGTTCAGAACCTTCAAGTGCTTGAAGAGACACCAACATAGTCACACAGGCAAAAGCCCATTCACTTGCCCTGAGTGTGGGAAGGGATTTGCTCAGTCAACTCCTCTGATGATACACCAGCGAGTTCACACCGGGGAGAGGCCCTTCACCTGCTCTGTATGTGGGAAGGGATTCACACAGTTGTCCAACCTGCGAACACACCAGAGGGTCCATACTGGAGAGAAGCCATTCAGCTGTTCTGAGTGCGGGAAGGTATTTGCTCGATCATCCAACCTGCTGATGCACCAGCGGGTTCACACGGCCGAAAGACCATTCAAATGCCCGGACTGTGGGAAGGGCTTTAAAAGACAATGGCTGTTGGTGACACACCAGCGGGTTCACTCTGGTGAGAGGCCGTTCATTTGCTCCCTGTGTGGGAAAGGGTTCGCTCAGTCGTCGACCCTCCAGAGCCACCGGCGTGTTCACACGACTACGCCATTCGAGTGCTCTGACTGTGGCAAGAGCTTTAAAAGAGCCAGAAACTTGCTAAAGCACCAGTCATGTCATGCTGCCCAGTAGCGCAGCAGCCAATGTACGAAATGAATTGAAGGCTTTCAGTCACATGTGCTGCTGCTTAAACTTTCAAACTGTTGCGCTGACGATTCCCTTTATTTGATCCTTGATTGTTAATCAATGAAGTAGTGCAAATATACGGCATTGAAAGAGGAAGTTTCACCCAACTGAATTAAAGTGAAAGTGTTCACAGTACAGAAGAAGGTCCTTCAGCCTATTGAAACTGTGCCAGTCAAAAACAAGCACCTAACTGTTCTAATCCCTTTGTTTAGCACTTGGTCCGTAGTCTTGTATTCCTTGGCATTGCAAGTATGTATCTAAATTAAACATTTCTGCCTCTAACATTCTTACAGGCACTGAGTTCTAGATTCCTGCCAACCTCCGGGGAAAAAAAGCTTTCTTTACATCCCCGCTAAACCTCCTTTCCCCTACTTCAAATATCTTCCTCAGTCATTGATCCCTCCACTGAGGAGAAAAGTTCCATCTCGGCTACCTGTCTACGCCCTTCATAATTTTATACATCTCAATCATGTCCTCTCTCATTCTGCTGTACTCCAAGAAAACAACCCACTCTATCGAACCTCTCTTCATTGCTAAAACTCTCCAGCCCTGGCGATATCCTTGTAAATTCCCTGTTCATGCTCCAGACAAACCTCCACCCCCTCCACTTTAACCCATGAACACATCCTCTTATTCCTTTCTCCCTCACTTGTTTAACCCACTTCCTCTTAGAATGTATCTGTGTTAACCACTGCACCATTCCCTGTGGTAGCATGTTCTACATTTTCACTTTGAAGATAAGTGGAGCTGACCAGTGTTCACCTTCTGAGTGCTGAAGCATTACTGAATACGTTTGTATTCATGGGCAAAGTGCCAGACAATTATAGATTCGATATCTGAGTGAGAAACCAATAATGACCTTGCACACTGTGTAGCAGTGCCAAATGTTTGTTTATAATCCCATACCTAGGAAAGAACAGGACTACAGGAGGCAGGCAACAGATACGGCCTAAACAATCCCATTTTATGGAACTGTACAACTTCATCAGAGCAGTCCACTTTACCTATGATCAATTGAAAGAGATTTGAGAAGTATGTATGACTACAGTGTACTTCCAGTCATTCTAAGTGAATCCTGTTCTTGTGAGCTTGATTGCCTGTGATCTTTAATGCTGGTACTAGGGATCATTGGTATCATGGAAATATACAGCACAGAAAGAGGCCACTGGGCCCATTGTTTCTGGACTAGCCTAAAGAGAATCATCAGCCTAATTCCACATTCCAGCTCCTGATGCAGTTGAACACTCTTCTGGGTGTGAGCACCTCAGGGCTTTTCCAGTTGCTGTTGTTCAAACTCTTTTCACACGGACACATCCTTCTGCATTCACAGGCTTATGATGTTCTGTTTCTAATGAATTGAATGACCCTTTCAGAAGCTGATGTGATGTTTGGCTTGGGTTTCCTGTGGCACATCCCCCTGTTTTACCTCTTTGTTTCTCTTCAACACAAGTATATATTACTTCCCCACTTTGAAACTGTAACCCCTAATAAACTAAAATGAAAATCACTAAAACTGGAAATGAAACTTAGAATGTCAATCCCTCTGGTGTTCACTAGTTGCAGGGAACCTTCAACTTTCTCACCAGGGACAGCTAAATGCAGAGGAAAAAAAAATCTACAAAGGAGATGCATAGCAGGCAATTAGGTCAATTGACCACTGTTGTTCAAGAGCCGTCCCATAAAGATGTTCTCAGTCCTGCCCACTCTTCTGTCTCTGAGCAAGGCGTGCAGTATTCACAATGAAAAGGCAACCATTTTCATAGATGGATATAAATCAATATGACCTGATGGCCATTATGGGGACATGCTTGCAAGGTGACCAAGGCTAGGACCTGAATATTGAAGGATATTTGACATTTTGAAAAACCAAGAAGCTGGGAAAAGTTTGACGTAGCTCTCATAATTAAGAATGACATTATAGGAAAAGATGGCCTCATCTCACAACAACAAAATGTAGAATCTGTTTGGGTAGAGATAAGATAATAAGAAAGGTAAGAGGTCACTTGTAGGAGGAGAAGTGGGTAATTTAGCCCCTTGGGCCTGCTCTGCCATATGGTACGATCATGGCTGATCTCATCTCAGCCTCAACTCCACTTTCCTGCCTGCTCCCCACAATCCTCAATCCATTATGAATTAAAAATTTACCTATCTCCTCCTCAAATTTATTCAGTGTCCTGGCATCCATCACAGTATGGGTTAATGAATCACACAGATTCCTTTTTAGGGATGTAACTTCTTCTCAACTTAGTTTTATATCTACTAACCTGTATCCTAGAACTATGACCACTCATTCTAGATTATGCCACATGAGAAAACATCCTTTCTACATCTATTTTTGTCAATTTGCTTTCGCATCTTATATACCTCAATTATATCACCTCTTATTCTTCTAAACTCCAGACAGAAAAGGCTTAAACTGCTCAATATCTCTTCATAAAACAAACTTCCCCATCTGTAGCTTCATAAGGCAACACATCATTTCAGGAGATACTTAATAACTCTTAGCAAAAATTTAGCCCAGTAAGAAGAAGAAAAATCTCTTTGCCAATGGCTTAGTGTTAACTTAAACACTTTACAAAACTGCAAAGATCATCAGTGATTCAGAAGGTTGGTCAGATTTGAAGAGAAACTGAAGAATGACAGGACAGAGACAGGCAGTAAGCAGAGAATGACAGAAGGCTAGCTAGCAATATAATAACAGTAAGAGTTTCTGCAAATATTTAAATAGGAAAATAGGAACCGAAGCTAGCATTGATTCTCTAAAGAGTGAAGACTGGGGACTTGATAATACAGAACAAGGACACAGCAGATTTTTAAAAACAGTTATTTTGTGTCTGTTTTCACTGCAGCAGGCTTGGAAATCTGTCCAAAGATACTTGAGTCAAGAGAAGAAGGGATTTAACATAGTCACCATTACCAGGAACATGCTAGGGAAGATATAAATGCTGACAAGTCATCAGGACCAGTAGACACACAAAAATTGTTGGAGAACTCAGCATGTCTGGCAGCATCTTTGGTGAGAGAATCAGAGCCATCATTTTGAGTCCAGTATGGGGAGCTTAGGACTGGGTAGCCAGCATCCTAGGATCTTTAAGCAAGTGGCTGCAAAAATAGTAAAGCTGTTGGTTATATATTTCTAAAATCGCTTAGATTCAGGAGACATTCCAATAGATTGGAAAATGACAAATGTAAATACTTTTTCAAAAAGGAGATGGAAAGCAGAAAACTGTGAGTTTGTTATTCCAACATCAGTTATCAGGGAGGCTCTAGAGTTCATCATTAAGCAGGTTATTGCAGAATACTTAGAAAACCATAGTCGTATTTGACTGATTGGACTTTAGAGTTCTTTGAGGAAATAGAAAATAATGTGGATAAAGGTAAACCTGTCGATGTGGTGTGCTCTGAATTGCAAAAGATGTTTGGGAAAGCACATCAAATATTACAACATAAGATAACAGCACACAGTGGAGTGGGCTAACATATTAGTAGGCAAAGGATTACTTAGCTAATATGAAACAGCAAATAGCACTTTTTTTGGTTTATCAAGGTGTAATGAGTGGAATATCACAGGATTTAGTGTTGGGGTGTCAATTATTTACAATCAATAACAATGAGTTGGATGAAGGCTAAATGTATCGTGCAGCCAGTGACACCCAAATCCCAGAAATGAATAAAACAAAATATACTTAATATTAAGACTGGAGTTTCCAGACAGAACAGACAGGGGAGATTCTGTTCCCATTGGTGGAAAGATCGAGAACAATTATGAATAAATTATTTTATTGTGTGTATTTTGCAGTTAAATACATTAAAATACAGTGAAAAGCTTTCATTTGTCACCATAATCTGGCACCATTTTGATAGTTTAAGAATAAGACAAAATGAAAAGATATAGTTTAAAGAGAAGTCCCTATATGTTTGTGTTCTGAGCTGGCTCAGAACCACCACCACCTCACCAGACCCAACTAATTTCAAAGTAGCTGATCCTCAGCACCATCTTTTGCCACTGGGCCCACCTCACCATTGTTGCCTCGCTGGGCACACCAGTGTTGGAGTCAATTAGGTACAAGTTGAAGCTAATTGGCAAAAGAAGAAATGGCAGCATCAGGAAAAACCTTTTTCATGCAGTGAGTCATGAGGATTTGAAATCTGTTAACTGAGAATAAAATAGCGTCATAGAGTTATACAGTTATACAGACCCTTCGGTCCAACTTATCCATGCTGACCAGACATCCCAGTCTGGCCTGGACCCATTTGCCAGCATTGGCCCATATCCCTCTGAATCATTCCTATTCATGTACCCATCCAGATGCCTTTTAAATGTTGTAATTGTATCAGCTTCCATCACTTCCTCTGGCAGCTCATTCCATACATGCGCCACTCTCTGCATGAAAAAAATTGCCCCTTAAGACTCTTCTAAGTCTTTCCCCTCTCACCTTAAACCTATGCCCTCTCATTTTGGATTCCCTATGCTGTGGAGAAGACCTTGGCTATTCACCCTATCCATGTCCCTCATGATTTTACAAACCTCTATAAAGTCACCCCTCAGCATTCAAGAGGGGATTGGATCATTATCGGAAATGAAGAATGTGCAGGGTTGGGGGAGAACACAGGTGAGTGGCCTGAAGTCAACTGATCTTTTAGAGAATCAGCACAGAGGCATTGGGCTGCTGGACATCTTCAGTACTGTACAAAATAAAACCCGAAGAACTGTGGATGCTGCACATCAGAAACAAAACCAGAAATTGCTGGAAAAACGCAGCAAGACAGGCAACATCTGTGGAAAGAAATCAGCGTTCACGTTTCGAGTCCGGTGACCCTTCTTCAGAACAGTTTTTCATGTTCTTCTCTCTCTTCCCTACTTTCTATTCACAGATCTTGAGTTTTTCCAGCAATTTCTGATTTTGTATCTTCATTACTGTACTCATTCAGTAATTCTGCACAAGGGAAACAATCACACGAGTGTGCTATTCCAACAGATAATTCCTCCAATCTGCCCTAAATGAAGGTATTTCATTTAGAGACGGTCGGATTTTTTTGCTCCAGCCCCACAAGGTTTCTTCTGTTTAAAGCCACAAACAGAAAGGTCCAGTTTCTTCCTGGAGTTTGATACAAATTTTGTCCTTAAAGAGGTCGACTCTCAGAAAATGGAGGAGTTCCAGGATCAGCTCCATCCCTTGTCCTTGCCAGGTGCATTTCCATTGGTTGGAGGACCAGCTGCATACGTTCGGTCCTCCAGGCCCGTCTCATTCGCTCCCATTGATTGGAGGACCATGCAAACTCTCGGTCCTCCAGCTCCGCCCTCTTCGCACGAAACGGGAGCTCGATGAGCATGCGTAGTTCACGGCCTTGGCACAGGGGTGCTAGGTAAGAGTGAGCTCCGGAGACGGGGTAACGGTTTATGCACATATTGGAAATGCCGACTGGGGACATGGACCTTAATGCTAATGAGAAAGTGGCCACCATCCACTCGACACATAAATGGAAGACCAGTGTCTTCCCCATTTCTGAAGAAGGGTCTAGGCCCGAAACGTCAGCCTTCCTGCTCCTCTGATGCTGCTTGGCCTGTTGTGTTCATCCAGCTCTACACCTCGTTATCCCAGTCCACAGGCCAGGGTTTCCGGTGTCGCCCCGAGCAAGAGCGTGACGCCCTGGTGCATGCGCAGTATTGCTTCGACCAGGGAATGTGTCAATGAAGGAAACATGAAGAGTGGGGCAAGGAACGTATGTGAATGGAGGAAGTGTGGGGAGTGGGTCAAGGACTTTGTCAATGGAGGAAATGTGGGAAGGGGCAGGAATCTTCTGTAACCTCTTCCAGCACTTTAACTTTCCAATATTTCTGTTACATCTTACAGCCTTAAACCTCCAACACCTATATGAATTCTCCCAGCGCCAACGCCCTCTCAATCTCTGTAACCTCTCCATCCCTCAAACTCTTCTGGTGCAACCTCTCTACTGCTGTCAGTGGAGATTGAGATAGTGATGGGAACCAGTGAATACAAAACTGAACACAGCCAGAATTGGGGGGTGGGGAGGAAAGAATCAGTGTAGAGCTAAACCCATTCAAATTAAACACTGTTAGGAGAGCAAAGCTTAGCAAAGGATAACACTTGAAAATCAGGTGACAGGTTTGGATATTAGTTCAGTGAGCAGGGAGGGTGAATGGGATGTGGAGAAACGGCTTTGGGGAATAAGGAAGGAGTACTGCATAGAAAGTAGAAATATTTGTTCTGAATTTTTATCTTGTACTTATAGTAGTGGCTTTTGTAAACTCCTTTTCCAGAGGAATTAGAAGGGGAGAATGTGCAGATGGGAAACTCAAACCAATCTTGTGTAACAAAATTACTCGTCATCAGCACCTGAATATCATCAGCCTTTGAAGGTAGAAGGAGAAATGTTACTCGGTGGGAAAAGATTTCAAGCATCAGTGTGCCTGGAAAAGAACCGAAACACATGACTGAGTGATAGTGTTCCAGTGAACTGACTGTGGAAAGGGCTTTCACCAGTTGCACAGACTGAAAAATTTGCAACATTCACAACGGGAGATTGTACCCAAGTTTTGTGTGTACTAGGCTTCAACTGATTGTCGAGTCTGGAATGACCAAGGAGAAACTGTGGAAATGTGGGGACTGTGGGAATGGATTCAGTTATCCCTCCCTGCTGGAGAATCACTGACGCACCCACACCGGGGAGAGTCATTCACCTGCTCAGTGTGTGGAAAGTGATTCACTCAGTCTTGCAGCCTCCAGAAGGACCAGCTTGTTCATACTGGTAAGAGGCCTTTTCAGTGTTCTGACTGTGGGAAGAGCTTCAAAAGCTTAAATGAATTTCTGAATCCCCAGCAGATTCACACCAGGGTGAGGCTGTTCACCTGCTCTGTGTATGGGAAGGAATTCGCTCAGTCCTCCCAACTGCTGACACACCAGTGGATCCACACAGGGGATAGGCTTTACACTTGTTCCATTTGTGGGAAAGAGTTCACTTGTTC